TTAAAATAAAAATTCTTAAAATATTCTGTAAGCAGCCAGGTGCGGTGGTTCATGCCTGTAATCCCAGCACTTTGAGAGGTCGAGGAGGGCAGATCATGAGGTAAGGAGTTTGAGACGAGCCTGGCCAATATGGTAAAACCCTGTCTCTACTAAAAATACAAAAAATTCACTGGCCATGGTGGTGCACACCTGTAGTCCCAGCTACTCAGGAGGCTAAGGCAGAAGAATCGTTTGAACCCAGGAGGCAGAGGTTGTAGTGAGCCAAGATCACACCACTGCACTCCAGCCTGGGCGACAGAGCACAGAGCGAGACTCTGTCTCAAAAAAAAAAAATTGTAGCATAATTTTCCTTGTTTCAGAAATGTATCCCTGCTCTCCACAAACTAAGCACCCACTATGTAAGCAGTATAAAATACATTTTGCCATATTTTTATTTTGTGCAACAAACTTTCTATATGAGTTGCATCTGAAAAACAGCTGACAGAACTAAAGAACATATTTAACTTGGGTTAGGCCTGACTTTCCCTGAGAGGCCTCCTATTTTAGGAAAGTAGGCATATACTGAGCTTGTTTAAACTTCAAAATCACTCTGAAAATGATACTTAAAGTCATTTTAAAGGACCACAGAATACCTAAAGAACACAAAGAAAGTAACCAAGGTTTGGTGGCTTGGCCCAACTTGACCTGAAGAGTTCATCTTCCATGTCACTTCCAGATGCGCCATATGACCAGAAGAGGCTCACTCTCACAACTCCAAATACTCTTTCTGCCTGTGCACACACTGACAGAAGCCCCGACAATCACAGTGCAGAGGGCTTTTTAATCCTGTGGTAATGGCTCAGGCAGTCCCCCTCAAGCTCTGTAACGGCAGTGCTGAAAACCACCTCTTTTGAAAGTGCTTATTTATTAGAATAGCTATTCTCTTATAATGATAACTTCCTTTTTTTTTTTTTTGAGATAGAGTCTTGCTCTGTCACCAGGCGCCAGGCTGGAGTGCAGCAGCGCAATCTTGGCTCACTGCAATTTCCGCCTCCTGGCTTCAAGCAATTCTCCTGCCTCAGCCTCCCCAGTAGCTGGGACTGCAGGTGCATGCCACCACGTCCAGCTAATTTTTTTTGTATTTTTTAGTAGAGACGGGGTTTCACCGTGTTAGCCAGGATGGTTAGATCTCTTGACCTCGTGATCCGCCCACCTCAGCCTCCCAAAGTGCTGGGATTACAGGTGTGAGCCACCGCGCCCGGCCTATAATAATAACTTTCCTAACAAAAGTCATGTGCTATATGGGCAGAGCAAGAGCTGAGTAAATACTTTCAAACCTCAAACGTGGAAAACACCTTCAAGTTCTCAAGAATAACTTCCATTTGTATATTTATAAATATGCTTGCTTCTAAGGAACTGACATTTTTGGTCCAAATATTCTTAGAGACAATGTTTGTCAGGAATACTGTGTCACCACATTCTTTGGAGGTTCCTTCACCAAGACAAGCTGCAAATCAAGACTTGAATTTCTAAACCTCTATTTCAAGAAGCCCATACTGCCATTTCCTCAATCAAGCAGCAGTGCACTTGACTAACGGAAGTGACTCCTGAGATCAAACAATGTAAATGCTCATATCACTATTTTTCCTCAACAGTGCAACAGATATGGAAAAAAAAAGGTTTTTTCTCCCCTTCAGAGTTTTCTACTAAGGATGTCCTTGAATGCCAGACCCCTGAATCAAACGCCTATCCGGTTCACCACCTATGGGGTGGGGCAGGTCGTCATGCTGCAGCTGAGGTTTCAAACAGTCCACAAAGATACAAAACCAATTCAGCACCTGAACCAAGCCATTTTCTACACACTGTCAGAAAATGTAGTCAGATTAGAACTTTACAGACTCTTAACCATCATTCCATTTACATATTCCTCATCACAATAGACTCTCAAGAAAAAGTCCACTCATAAAATATGAAACACACACATACAAAACTAATGTGAAAAATGAGTAAGAAATGAAACTGCTGGATAAAAGAAGAAAAATTTACTACCCTTTCAGTATGATATACAATGATCAAAAGGAAGAAAAATGGCAAAAAAAGGTATAAAGGCAAAAAATTAAGTGAATTATGAATCTGAGGTGAAATTACACAACTTCCAAATGCACACAGAAAGCTATAACCTACAAACCACTGTCAGAACGGTAGGCAATGTCTTTTCTGTCAACCACAACATCAGGAGCACCATCTTAGAACCTAATGTTAGTGTTAGTTCTAAGGGGTTAAAAGGAACAAGGCAGCCTTTTGCAAAGCTGGAGGAGGAGGCATAGGAAGCTCATTCACATCAAAATCTGATGCTAACGGTAACCCTGGAGCTGTGCAACCTCTGGAGTCTGTGAAGTCCTCCCTGAGGCCATGATGTGTGCCAATGACAGAGGCAAAGAAAGCAGAACCACTGCAAGTTAACTCTCCTAAATTTCTCTTTCACCTGGAATCCTAGAGCCTATAGGGCACTGACTTTCAGAGGGAGTAGAGAAGTTGCCCTCAGGGGAGGTTTCATTTGGCCACATCTGGAAATATTTTTTATTGTTATGGGGGGGTACTGTTGCTGCTGCTGGCATGGCATCTGGTGGGCAGAGGTGGGATGTCGCTAAACATCCTGCAATGGACAGGGCTAAACATCCCGCTAATGTCAGCAGTGCTGGGAGGGCGAAACCCTGCTGTAGCTTCCTTATTAACTCCTGCCTTATTGAAGGTGCCCTTGGATTTCACACCAAGAACCAAGACTGCAAATACACATTCACATGTGAATATGATTAATCAAGAAAGAAATCCACTTATGAAAACGAGCTTGGGGAACAGTAAGAAGTATATTGCCAACTTACACACTGTCCTTCCCTAGTGGGCATCAATATTGGAGTTTAACATCATGTTTCACACCATGTTAAACCAGACAAAGACGGCAGGGAAATGCACTCGTTTGAGGCCTTGACCATCTACCTGCCACTTCCATAGTGAAGACACAGAAGCAGTCTGAGGTCATGGGAGAGCAGGTAGCAAGAAGAGGCTCTGCTGTGTCCACAAGCAGAGCGGAGGCAGCTGGCTTATCCTAGCAGGCTGCTCACACATCTACACCATCCCTTCTCTGACTCACCTGGCTGAGCTCTCCTTCCAAAGATGCCCTTCATTCTTGCCTCTACAGCCATCCCTCAGTGTCTGAGGGGGACTGGTTCCAGGACCCCTGCAGACACCAAAACCCAAGCAGGCATAGGTCCCACAGTCCACCCTGTGGAACCTGATGACATACAAAAAGGTGGCCCAATATTGACATCCGAGAACACAGCGTTTTCAACCTGGTTTAGTTGTAAAAACTTCACATGGAAGTGCACCCTCGCAGTTGAAGCTCATGTGGTTGAAGGGTCACTGGATTCTTGTCACAATGCTGCCTTACAAAATATCCCGGATAGAAGAGCAAGGTTCATATTCAAAAAAAAACCCAACTTAGGTTTCAACAAATGTTCCTCTCAGAATATCAGTTCCATGAAAGGAGGAAACTAGGTCCACATTCAGACCATCCCTGACTGAGAATCACTGCCGTGCTAGTTGTCCAGCCCAAGACATTCTCCAGGGCACAGCACAGAGGGACCTAAACGTCGCCAAGAATAAAAGCACCCACACTACCTCTGGCTGCCCGTTGCTGACCTCTCAGGGCCCTGCTGGGCTTCCACAGCCCTTCTGTCTTGCAGTGTGGTCCTCCCTGACTCCAGGTCCCACCCTGGAAGGGGGCTCCCGCTCATCTCCTCTGCTCACATCTTCCACTTCCAACACCCAGAGCCACCCTGGAAGGGGGCTCCCACTCATCTCCTCTGCTCACATCTTCCACTTCCAACACCCAGAGCAACCCTGGAAGGGGGCTCCCACTCATCTCCTCTGCTCACATCTTCCACTTCCAACACACCAGCAGGCAGCTTCATACTTTGAGTGACGAAGTCGCATCCTGTGCTTCTGAAGAGAATTCGACCAACAGCCAAGTGCACCTGCAAAGCACATACAATAAAGATACCTGGCCTATCGGAATCAACAATCTTCCTCAGAGGGCAACGGTTCGCAAAGCAAGAGCATGTTCCAGCCCTCGAACAGACCCTCTGTGGTTATACCTAGTGCCATCCTCTCTAAACAATGGCTTGCTAGGCTTCCTCTAGACTCCCTACCCACCACCAAACAGGAGAAATGGCAAATCAGACATCAGACTTATCTTACAGAAAAGTGGGAGTCTAACATTTGCTAATATTAAAGTGAATAACAACTTGTATCTCTTCAATAACATCAACTTTGGCTTTCAGAAGATAGAAGGCAATCTCTAATGCTATATAAACCGCTTATCATCACGTTGCAAGCAAAAGAGCAACAAGCACTACATGGTAAAATAATGGTCCGCAGCTCGAGGGGAAAAAAGGCTATGGAATAATAAGATTTCCCTACTAACTGACAAAAGTAACATTCACTGCAAATGAAAGGAATCCCTGATAAATGTGCATGTCTGAAAGTTCTGAAACTGGGTTAAACACAGCATCACGACTTCTTTCTCCTCCAGGACTTTGGCAAGATACACAGACAAGGAGTCATAAAACCTGGACTTGTAAACAACTACGCAAAGTCTACGAACCTACTGTAAGAACCAGAAATAATGTAAAGGATTGTTATCATTGCACTAACTGGAATAAGTGTATCCAATAAAATCCTGAAAGTCAATTAAAACACTAAGATCTTGTAATCATTAATGGACAGAATTCTAAATTTGGAGTGAAATCTTTTCTTGAGAAGCAAAAAACAGACCTCAACCTTCCCACCCATGCACTAATTCCTCTGATTCATGTTAAATTTGCAGTGTGAGACAAGGAGTTTATCAAATATAAACAAAATATCCTTAACAATTTCTCTTTTTCCTTATTGCCCACCAAGAACAGAAGCATCCACCCAAAGTAAAGAATTTGCTTATAAAACGTTGTAAGTACTGCACTCACAGTTTTGAAACATATAGCTATATTACATAGGAACTCCCATGCAGAGTATTTCCTAGTCAGCCTTCACAGTCAGAAGGTCTATAATCAGAGGCGTCCAAAATAGAAATGACTTGCATTTCACCATCCAACTGGGATTTCTGCAAAGCTCACAAAGCAAACTGGCACGGATGTAATTGTAGCTGCTAACAATTCTCTTTACTGTGCCCAGCTGTACTTCTCTCAGTACCAGGAGCCAGCTGACATGTCTAAGCTGCTCGTACATCTCTGCTGAGCAAGCCAGTCACATACACCATACCCAGCAAAGCCCCACTATACAACCCCAATGGGAGATAATGTGTCTGAAGCCCCACTTATACATCCCCAATGGGGATGAACGTGCCTGAAATGGCACTGAGGTAATTTTTAATGAAAGTAGTATAACCATGGGAGACTAGACTCACCCCAGAGTTGTTACCATGGTCCAAAACACTTTAGAATTTCCTTTATGAAACTGCCTCTCAGATCAGTTTTAAAACCATACTAAAAAACAAAAAAGTTTCTTTACAAAGGAATAGGGCCAGACGTGGTGGCTCACACCTATAATCCCAGCACTTTGGGAGGTCAAGGCAGTCGGACGGCTTGAGCATCCGCTGGGCAACATGGCAAAACCCCATCTCTACAAAAAATATGAAAATTAGCCGGGCATGGTAGCATGTGCCTATAGTACCAGCTACTCAGGAGGCTGAGGAGGGAGATCACTTAAGCCTGAGAGGCAGAGGCTGCAGTGAGCTGAGATCACACCACTGCACTCCAGTCTGGGCAACAGAGCAAAACCTGTCTTAAAAAAAATAATAAAACCTAATGTATAGAATTCCCATCTTCTGACAAAGGTGAACAAAAGAGATTTACAGGTTTTCCGCTTATCTACTTGAAAAGCATCCTTCCTGGCAAGGCAACAAAATAGCAGTCTGGAGTTGGCCAATCCCTGAAATGACCTCTTCTGCCAGAGTCATCAAGAGAATTTGCAGTTAAAATCTCGCTGATTTGTGGGATCCACCATTTTGAGCTGCCAGCTGACACGCTCAATTTTAGCTTTAGCATACCCTTCTCTCCGAGCTGGCAGATAGCAAGGAAGTCCCTAGAAAAAGTAAAGGGAGACAGAGAGCCTAGCAACAGCTACCAGCAGCACACAGAGCCAAGAGAGGGAAAGGAAAGGTGGGCGGGGTATCTTCTGCAACTGTGGGTCTGGACAGACTCCTTTCCTAAAATAAATAAGAACAAACAGCCCCCAATAACCTGCTGAGCATTGCTCGACCTTATTATTTCAGGTCACCAACTACCCTTTATTAAAAGCAGTATTTTAATATAATAAAGCAGATTTATGCATACCTCAAAACCCTATTCTTTAAATGAATGAAAGAGCAAGCAAGCCAGTAAGTAAGTAAGTAAGTAAGTAAATAGGCCAGCCAGCCCTGGCTCCAGCTTGCACCTAAGGGTAATGCTGACATTCCTAGGAATGTGGTTCTGGGGACACAGCGGACAGTCTGGGTGGGCTCCATTACCCCCAGGAGTCAGGGAAAGCTTCTTCAAATACTCATCCCACTGCTCCTGTGTGGTACCACACTGACTTCAGAAAGATGCAACTCAGAAAAGTAATGAATGTGAGAAACAGTACTTCTATTCCAAATTCTACAGCCAGCAAGCACCCCACTCAAGGGTCAGACAGCTCTATATAACCTCACCCTACCCAACTCTAAAATTACAGTTATGCTCTGGGACTGCCTTGAAGCCTGTTTTGACGTCTTTGTTAAGATAAGCCCTTTAGGCTTCCAGCTTCTCTGGCTATGGACAATCCAAACACAATTAGGTGTAGATCTTGGAGTACACTGACGTAATACAAGAAAATCAATGTGAGTGCCACATTCGTAATGACGTAAGTTCATCTACCACTCTGTAGCTTATTAGGCATTTTAGCCTCATTTGGATCCTAACAGGACTACCTCAATGTGTAAGGCAAGGCAGTAATTTTAAGCACATTTTTTAAGCAGAAGAGGAAGGTGAGGTTCAGCAGGACAGAGGCCCCTCAGTAAAAGCAGAGATACATCTGAAATGAAGGTCTTCCCATTATGAGGCCTCTTTTCTTTGCCCCCCCCACACTTCCCAGAGCCGGGAGCACGCCCTATAAACCCCCTGAAAAGAGCCCTCTCACACTTTATCCTCCTTGAGCCTCCCCTTTCTTCAGGAAAGACAGGCTAGAATAATGCTGAGAATCAGAGAAGAAATGGTCTCCTGACCAAGTCTCCCAGCAACAAACTACTCAGCATCTTCACAAGACAAGAAATGCTGCAGACAAAGTGAACTCTCCCCTTCTTCGAGCTACAAAACACTACTCGAAATACTACTGAAAGGATGAGGGGCTTACATCAACTGTCATTGCTGGGGACCTACCATCGTGGCCCAGTGTTGAATCATGGAAGGATTCAGTGTCTCCTTAAAGTCTATCTGATGTGACACACTTGAAGCTAATTCTCTGACCCTATGTGATTAGAACAGAATTTCAAAGCCACTCACATATCCTGTTTCTTCCTATTTTTTGGTTCTGCCTCTTCCTGGATAGAAATAAATTTGATCCTTGCATCAGTTTCATCTAGCCAGAAATATAAAAGCAAGACCATCATGCCAAGCACAGTGGCTCACGCCTGTAATCCCAGCACTTTGGGAGGCAGAGGCGGACAGATCACCTGAGGTCAGGAGTTCCAGATCAGCCTGGCCAACATAGTGAAATCCCGTCTCTACTAAAAATACAAAAATTAGCCAAGCATGGTGGTGCGTGCCTGTAGTCACAGTTACTTAAGAGGCTGAGGCAGGAAAATCGCTTGAACCCGGGAGGCGGAGGCTGCAGTAAGCCGAGATGGCACCACTGCACTCCAGCCTGGGCAATAAGAGCAAAACTCCACCTCAATTTAAATAAAAAATAAAATAAAGACCATCAGCTTTGTAGAGGAGGGTGAGAAGGCAAGAAAATCTACCACTGCACTGAATTATGTAATTTTCATTCCTCTCAAAAAGCAGGCAGGAGGGGCCAGGCTTGGTGGCTATAATCCCAGCATTGTGGGAGGCCAAGGCAAATGGATCATTTGATGTCAGGAGTTCGAGACCAGCCTGGCCAACATGGTAAAACCCCATCTCTACTAAAAATACAAAAATTGGCCTGGTGGTAGTGATGTGCGCCTGTAATCCTAGCTACTCTGGAGGCTAAGGCAGAAGAATCACTTGAGCCTGGGAGGTGGAGGTTGCAGTGAGTCGAGATCTTGCCACTGCACTCCAGCCTGGGCAAGAGAGTGAAACCTTAGCAGGAAGGAAAGTAAAAGTCCTAATCACAAAATATTGCTAGCCAAAAGTATACAGGCAATAACTGTAAATCTCTTGAAACAAAGTGGGCTGGACCAGGCACCAGGAGGTTCAGAGTCTAGATATGCATCATTTTCTAATTAGCTGTCACAGGACAGTTGAAGTATGGAGGCAAACTGACAGCAGACTGAACCTCAGCTGCCACTAACAAAGTGAGGAACCTTCCGCAAATGTCTTAACCTTTAAGGCTCAATTTCTTCACCTAGAAAAATGGGGAGAATGATGAGAAGACCAAGAAAGAGAATACAGGTCAAGTAATTAACACTTCTTGGCCCAAAGTTAGCAGAGAAAATTCTACTACCATCATCCATGATCTGCATAACCTGGGCAAGAAACTGTACCTGAGATTCAGTCTTCTCACCTGTGAAAAGGGGGTGTGAGAGCAAAGGACTCCCTGATTCTAAGTAAAAACAGAATATATGAAAAGCGAGTGAAGATAGGTCATGGAGCCATGGTCAGTGCTATGGTGAAGGACTCTCTTGACAAATCAAACTGCACCTCTCCACTCTGCTAACTAACACAAAGTCGCGTGCTTGGTCAGAGTGTCTCCACACATCTTGCAGGCAGTGTGGCTGATAAGTCTTAGCCTGGAAAGAAAGTCCATAGGTACGTTCTGCCCACCAGGGCTGGTAATGTTAATGTGGGACCAAGATTCAAGAAAGAGTGCTGCAGAGGTGTGTTAAATAGACTGCAGACACCCGAGGAAGCCAAGAGCAATGCTGCAAGCTCATCCTACAGGAGGCACTTAGATTCTACATTTCCCGTGTCCCCACCCTTCTAATGGCAAGTGTACTTTTGCTGGTTATCCCTCCACTGCTTGGGATGAGTCCCTGAGGCTTCTAGTTTCTCTGGCTGTGGAGTCCAAACACCATGTAAGACACTTCACATGTCAGACAAGAAAACCAATATAAGTGACTACGTTCATCATTGCAGATGTTCATCTAGTACTTTTTGGTTAACTAAGCATTTGAGTCTCAACTTGATCCCGAAGGATGTAAGGCCACAGCTAAAGTCATTCATTGAAAGAAACAAGGGAAAAAGATTAAACACAGCACATTATTAAACAGATCCCCATTAGCCAGGGTTTCCTGTCGGCCTGGCTGTGTTTTCTCTTGTTATGCTTTAAAACGTTTACGTTTCATTTCAGGACTTCGCCCTATCTGCTACCTCTCAGGTTAACCTACAAACAAAGACAAAAAGATTCACATCCATGCTGCTTTCATTATTACAAGTCCTCTTCATTGTCTCCTTGCCTCCTGTTTCCCCTCACCCAATAAACACACTTGATGATGTTCTCACTCACGTCCTTCAGTGGTTGGTTTCACCCAACAAATTCATTCAACAAATACAGTATTTTCAAGGAATCAGGTGCTACTCTAGGAACTTGGGTTACATCAGTGAACCAAACAATAAATGTTCTATTGGAACTTACATAGCAGGTGAAGGTAGCTATTAGATATGTTTACACTTATATAGTATATCATGAGGTGACAGGGAATAAAGAAACAGGAGTCAGGGAATGTGCACTGGGATTGCCAGTGGGCAGCAGGAAGGATGTTTAAAGGGGGTGATTGGAAACGCCTCCCTGAAAAGGTGAGGCTTGAACCAAGGCTGCAGGCGATAAAGGGACTCAGCCAAGACGGCACATGGAGAACAGAGGAAGAGAACAGGGGTGGAAGTTGGTATCTGGCACGTTCCAGGAAGAGCAGGGAGGGAGACCAATGTGGCTGGAATGAGCAAGCGACAGAGTGAGCTGATGGCAGGCAGATCACAAGGGGTCCTGGAAACCACTGTAAGGCTTTTACTTGTGCAATGAGAAGTTGCTGCCATTTTTGAGTGAAAGAATAAGAAGTTAACGCTTTTTAAAGGATCTCTGCCATGGCTGTTGTGTTGAGAACAGACTGGAGCAGGCGAGGGTAGAAGTAGGGAGACCAGGTGGGCTGGGAGAGACAGCAGCTGCTTAGATCTTCAGAAGAGCAGCAACAGAGGTGTTGAGAGTGGTCAGCGACTGGATATATTCCGAGGACCCAGGGCCACACCTTCCTAGCAGAAAGGATACAGGACGAGGGAGAAATGAGTTGTCAAGGATAACAGGTAAGCCATCAGAATGAAAAGAATGAAGTTGCCATCAACCATTTTGAAGTAAAACCCTACCAGGACACTATGGCACAGCTGTTACAAGTGTCCTGATTTATCTGGTCTCCTCACATTTTAAATTCTCTTTAGACCCTCCCTCCCTTTTTCCTCCCACAGAAATAATCTAATCATGGAAGTGTGGACTGAATAACTGTTGCAGACAGAAGAGTTTCTCTTTGATAAAGTATGGATACGAAATGACAACAGACACCCTATCCCAGAAGGCAACCGCAGACTAGCTAATGTTTGATGGCTAAGTCAAGCAACAATGGGAAGTTCCCATTTGCCACGTATTGACGTGTGACTCTGGACAAGTCATTTCTCCTCTCTCCTCTCATTTCTTTGTTTTAAAGTAAGGATAATATTACCCATAGAGTTACTGTGAGTTCTAAGTGAATGAACAGAATTCAAGTACTCAGAGCGACAGCTGGTGGCAGCTGGTACAGGGTAAGTAATATATAGGTTGCAAGTGGCTGGGCGTGGTGGCTCAAGCCTGTAATCCCAGCACTTTGGGAGACCGAGGCGGGTGGATCACGAGGTCAAGAGATCGAGACCATCCTGGTCAACATGGTGAAACCCTGTCTCTACTAAAAATGCAAAAAAAATTAGCTGGGCACGGTGGTGTGTGCCTGTAATCCCAGCTACTCTGGAGGCTGAGGCAGGAGAATTGCCTGAACCCAGGAGGCGGAGGTTGCGTTGAGCAGAGGTTGTGCCATTGCACTCCAGCCTGGGTAACAAGAGCGAAACTCCGTCTCAAAAAAAAAGAAAAAAAAAAAAAAAAAAATATATATATATATATATATATATATATATATATATGTTTCAATTATTATTATCATTTTTTTTCCTAAAGAATTGTTCTGAAAATTACTAACATTATTGTTATGTATTGTTGTTTTTTCTTAATCTCTGAATGATATTATAAGAAATAATACCTGGGGAGCATGAGTCTAATATCAATTTCAAAAATAGGAATAACCTAACACTAATATACACTGAGAACAAAGACACATTAACTTGACAGTAAGCACCATAGACACCTAAGTACCCAGACACTAAAATTGCCACTGAAATTCTATAGGACAAATATTACCCCTTCGTGTGTCTGGTGGCAGAGGGGAGAAAACATGGATATATATGTTGTATCTCTGTGATTTAAAGACACTAACCTATTATAGAAGACCCATGAATTTCTCCAAACCTTTCTACATCAGCTGGGTGGTACGTATTTCAGGACATACAGAAGATGGTACTTGTGTACTTCAGCTTTTGATATATTCTAGAATCAATAATTCTTATAGTTTTAAAATGTTTACTAATAACCTAACAATCAATACAACTCAGTTCAAATACATACAGATACACATAGGCAAATACAGACATACGGATGTGTGTATATGTCACATACGTATGTCTATATGTCTATATTTGCCTATCTGTCTCTGTAGGTGTATATATATATACACATCTGTATGTCTATATTTGCCTATCTATATGTATATATATACATACACACATACTATTTAGCTAAAATCTGTTCTCTTCTCTTAACCTCTAATAATGAATTTCTACCAAAAATGTCCCTGAACAGCAGGTAACACTTCCAAGATTTGCCCAGCCAACAATTCTCAACTCTACCTGCATCTCAGAATCACCCTGGAGAGATTTAATTAAATATATTAATGGCAATGTCCAACACTAGATTTCTGGTTTAACTGAAACCAATGTCAATGTCGAGAACTGCCAGCTGGGTCAATGCTAGAAGTATTATTTATTGAATTTGAGAGACAGACAGTTAATTAGTATTTCGGGGTTTAAACTAGCATCATATGAACTGGGATCTGAGATGAGAGGGCACCACCCCACAGCCTAGATTGGAAACCTGCCCTATAGTCTCTCAAACTATCCTGAATCTCCAAAACAGTCTTCCAAATGTTCTCTTGAAAATACCTGATGACTGAAACTTAAGTTTTAGTTGAAATGAAAGAACACTCAATACTATTTCACTGTACTCTGGCAAAATCATACTAAGCCTTAGTGCCAAATACCTGGTTACCATTATTTTTTCCACCTTATGTCCTTACAATAGTTAAAATAACTGTATGCAGCCTGGCTCTAAGAAATGTGAATCTTCTTCCGTTTTTTTTCTTTCTTTTTTTTTTTGATCCATCATTCAAAATAATTTTTGAATTATTTTTTATGCACAACATAAAAAAGAAATTATTTACAAATGTTTTCACCTGTCAACATTGTACAGGACTGAGTAATGGCTTTCTGTAATAAACTCACTCATTTACTCTGCCCTTTAAAATGCAATATTTACTGAATGTTTATTATATGCTAGACTTTTCTTTCAAGTGCTAGAGGCTGTGAAAGTGATTGAGACAGATGGGGTCTTCATCCTTCTAGATGCCTTTAAATGCATAAATTTAAGAAGAAAGTATGGCTGTAGTTCAAAGCCATCTAAAGAGTATGTTAAAAATAATGGAAATCTAAAATAACAACACTAGAAATGTCATATGGAATCATAATTTACTAAGCGCGTACTAAAAACCGGACTGTGTTAGTCCCTTTCTACATGACACTTTTTTAATAAAGATGCTCTCCTAAAAAGATGAAATTACCATTTAGAAAAAATCACACGAAAACAAACGAGATAAATATTTTCTTTAGCAGAGTTTAAATGTGGCCTTTCCACAGTAGAGAGAACACTCCATCCTAAAGACGATAGAAAACAATTACGAAGTTGTGTCCATTCATTGACACAAAAATTTTTCCGTATTAGTTCAACTAGATTAATCATGAGAAGACGTTTCGGTTAAGAAAAATCACGTTGTCATAAAAAGATATTTCCAATCTCAAACCTTTTAAGTTGAAAATTCAGTCAACGATATTTTAAGCTTGATGCTTAATGATATCACTGGGCCACAGGGCTAACAAAACGTTGCCAAACCAATAAAATAAAGCATTACTGGGTGCAGTAATTAATCTTAGCTTTTCTTTTTGCAAACTCCAATCCAACCAAAAGTGTGGACGAAGCCCCGGTTATGAATTCCCAAGTAAATCAGAAATTCACAGGACTGCAATTCGAGTCCAAGCAAAAACTGTGTGACTTAACCCAAAGGTGTCTGACAATCTTTTAAAGAGCATTCTCGGGAGAAGCGATTTGCCTCTAAACCGGGAACCGCCACCCCCCCCCAAAAAAAAAACCCTTTTAAAAAAAAAACTTTTTAAAGAGAATGGTAACGGAGGTCAGTCAAGTGGAGTCCACTTGTAAGGTTCCGGGGAACTGACTTAAGTCAACACGGATCTCCAACTCCAGGTTGGAGACACCGGGACTCCAAAACGGGAATCCACTCCCACCGCTTTTGCAAGACAAACCCGTGCACAACTTGGCTTCGGGCTGCATTCAGGCAGTGCCTGTTCCGGGCCGCCCCCGCCCAGCGCTGGCCGCTCCTCTTCGGACGAGGGCCGGCCCCTGTCACCCCCGCGACCTACACGCACACACTCGCCCCCGGCCCGCCGCGCTCCGGTGCCACGGGCCTGCAAAGTTTCCGCGGCCGCTCACTCGGGGATAACCAGCGAGGGGTACGCCCGGAGGCTGGGGGACCCCCGGCGCCTTGGCTGCGCGGACGAAGCCCCGGTTGTGCACGCGTCGCCGAGAGCGGCTGGGCCGGCAAGAGCACGCGGGCCGCCCCTACGCTGGGTGTGCGTCTGCAACCGCGGGGCGCGCAGGGCTCGGCGGGCCGCACTCACCGTCGATGTTCTCCCGGTCGCTGATGTGCTGCAGGTTGCAGCCCGTGTCCTCGCGGCTCAGGTCCGTGTCCGGCCGGTAGGACTCCAGCCGGGAGTGGGCATTCCTCCGGAGCTTGGGGCTGGACGACACGCAGCACGAGGTAGTGTTCCCCATCTTCGGCGGCCCCCGACTCCAGCTGCGGTCCTGTTCTCCCCGACCCCGGGAGCTGGGCGCAGGCAGGCGCGGGGCGCGGGCGGCGGGGGCGTAGGGGGAGTCCCGCCCGCTCGCCGCCGCGGGAGGGGGCAGAAGCCGCGGCCGGCCGCCGGGTCAGCAGCGGCGGCGGCGGCGGGGCCTCGCCATGGGCGGCGGCGGCGGCGACGAGCGGGCGGCGGCCCCGGCTCCCCCTCGGCCGGCCTATCCGCGGCGGAGGAGCGCTCGGGTCCGCGCGACTGTGGCCGCAGCGCCTAACTCACCCCGCCGCGGCCATGGCGGGCGGCGCCGCGCAGGCCGCCTCCCCCCGCGCTTCTCAGTCAGCGTCCCCTTCCCCGGCGGCGACGGCGGCGGCGGCCTCGACAAGAGGTTCCGGTTCAAGCCGGGGGCACGCGTGTCCGCGCCAGGCAGCGGGGCGAGCCGACGAGTGGGCAGGCAGCGGGCGTGGAAGCAGCCCCTGAGCCCAGCGCGGCGCGGCACGGCCGGGGAGGATGTTGGCGGCCCTCCCCCTGGCGGCGCGCGCCCCCTCGCCGCATTCCCCGCCCCGCCCCGCCCCGCCCCTTCCCTCTGCCCTGGAAGCAGATCGGCGGCCGAGGGGAGGGCCGGGGCGGCGCGGCCCTATGCGGGTGAGGGGTCGCTACCCGCGGCCGCGCCTCTAGCTGGCGCTGGGGTCGCGGGAATCGTCGGCGGGAGCTCGAAATCTGGAGGCCCTTCCCCGCCGGGCCTCGGCCTCCTCCACTCCCCCGGGCCGGACAGGACGGGGCCTAGCGCGGGATGCGAGGTGCGTCCCCGCGGCCCGCAGCGGGCCGGAGCTCAGCCTAGGCCGGGAGGAGGATCCGGGCCCTGGGCACCGAGGCTGCGCCTGCCTCTCCGAGACCGGGCTGGCTCTTTTTTTTCCTCTTCTTTTTCTAATTTACTTTTTTAGGGAGAAGATTTCGCTCTGTCGCCCAGGCTGGAGGACAGTGGCGCGATCTTGGCTCACTGCAGCCTCGAACTCCTGGGCTCAAGCGATTCTCCTGCCTCAGCCTCCAAAGTAGCTGGGACTATAGGCTCGCGTCACCCCGGCTAAGGTAGGGGGGCGTGTGTATGTGTCTCCACCCACTCCTGGCTAAGGTGGGTGTGTGTGTGTCTCCAACCACACCTGGTTAAGATAGAATGTGTGTGTGTCTGTCTGTCTCCAGCCACGCCCGGCTAAGGTGTGTGTGTGTGTGTGCGTGTGACACAGTGGCTAAGCGATTCTCCCTTGTGTGTGTGAAGGTAGGGTGTGTGTGTATGTGTCTCCGTGTGTCTCCAAAGTAAGTGATTCTCCCTCCTCAGCCTCCAAAGTAGCTGGGACTACAGGCTCGCGTCACCCCGGCTACGGTAGGGGGGCGTGTGTATGTGTCTCCACCCACTCCTGGCTAAGGTGGGTGTGTGTGTGTCTCCAACCACACCTGGTTAAGATAGAATGTGTGTGTGTCTGTCTGTCTCCAGCCACGCCCGGCTAAGGTAGGGGTGTGTGTATGTGTGTGTGTCTCCAAAGTATCTAAGGTAGGGATGTGTGTGTGTGTGTGTTAACTTTTTGTAAGGAAGGCATCTCATAGCCCAGACTGGTACCGATTTCCTGGCTTCAAGTAGTCCTCCCGTCTCTGTCTCCCTTGGGATTACAGGAATGGGCCAAGGTGCGGGCCTTTTTTCTTTTGTTTAGTTATGTATTTGGTAAGCATTTAAAAGAAGCTAGGCCTTGATGTGGGAGTTCTCTCTTCTATTATATTTCGAGCTTTGCCGAGGACTTGAGGATAATCTTGTTTTAAGGCCTGAAATAAATCTTGGGGTCCTAGAGCTATTTTAATGTTGAATTTGCTGTGGAGTGTTTTGAGTTCCTTGGAAGTTAACCTGAGGTAGAGAACTAAGGTAACACAACGCATTGACTGCCCTAGTTTTGCTTTTAGAATGCCATCAGGTTTTGTCGCTTTGGGAACAAGTTAACTTAGGCCAGTTGACTAGGATAAAGGTATGTGAACGAGCCTGGCTCAGAGGAAAGTCCAGTAAATGTTGGTTCGAATCCCACCCAAAGCCCACAATGCCAGCCATCCCTGACTTTTCTTGCCTTTATTGGGAAGGATATAAGGTGCAGAAACAGCCTTCCCACCCTTTTTTCCAAATATGTACTAAAGGAGTCATGAACAGAGGCTGGTAGGGGGCTGGGAATATCTTTGAACTAGTTCTCGGAAAAAAAAAAAAAAAACCAGCACAACTATCTTAATTTTAAATATGAGAAAACTGAGGCCCAGAGAGATGAAATCATGCCTTCTTCAGATCTCAGCACCTGTTAGTGACAAATCCAGGTACTAAAAGGGAAGAGAAGATATAAGGGACTTAGTATTTATCTAGCATCAGCAATGTGTGGCCATCTTGTGAAAGGCTTTATAAACATTTCATTTAATTCTCTGCATCTAGCCATTTTTTAACCTGTGCTTTCCCTCCTTCTCACAGGACTGTTTGTACATTTATTAGTCCATATTTTTATTTTTTAGATTTTTTTTTCTCTTAATTCCTTCAGCATAGTCCAATTTTTAAAAGCTCCATCCTCTCAACTGTGTTAATGCTATTTGTTAGGATAAGTGACAAACGTCCCTGGAAAATAAATGGCTGCAAAGTGGTCATGCTGACCAGATGAGAGAAGAAGTATAAAAGGGAAATTCTGAAGAATGACAGCCCTGGAGAGGGTGGGTAGACAACAACAGTACAAAATAGTGCCCTTCCCTTCCTCCTCCTGCTTCCTGGGAAAACTGATTGGGGCACATTCACAATTGCATGTGTGTATTCAGATTTTCTGTGCTATGAAGGTTGGGTCGGATGGCTGAACCCTTGGGAGAGGAGTTCCCTTGTCTGTTCTGATTGCTGCTTTGTACTTTGGGCCATATATGAAAGTCAGCATCCAGTCAATGAAACATCGGAATGTGGTGTATCTACTCAGGCGCATTAAGCAATTTTTATTTCATTATAAAATGTATAACATTTACATTCAAATTATGGTTTCTGAAGGCCTTAAGAGAAGAAAGAGACAATGACACTAAGGTGACAGCATGGCTGGCTGCATGCTCTCTGTCCGAGCAGGTCGCTGGGCAGTGTTAACTGGAGAGAGCATCTAGAGGACTAGAGATCAGTGTAGCCACGTACCCTCAACAAAGCGTGGTACAGCCTCTGGTCTGCCAGGATTCCCACCCCCCACCACCCCTACCTCCTCTGACATTTCTACCATATTCCCCTTAGGTATGTACCTGCACTTACTGAGGTCAGCAATTCTGGAGAGAAAAGATATGTACTAAAGCCTCGCTAGTGGTTTACCTGGGTGCCGACTCCCTCGATGCACCCCACATGCACACTTCACACTCCTCCAGGCAGATGCTCCCTCCCTGACACACAGTGACACTTTGGGGGAAATTACAGAACAGTAACCAACTATGAACAGAGAAATGTGATGTCAAAATGATACTAATGAGAGATGTCATTTCTTGAAAGCCTGCTAGCTGCCATGCACTGTACTATTTCTAACATCTAAATCTGATAAGTTGTACCCCATTTTATAAATAGACCACTTTAACTTTGGTAAGTAAACCTATGCAAGATCAAAATACTGAGAAATGTCCTAACAGGATTTGAACCTGGTTCTAATTTCAAAGTCCAAGCTACGTCCACCCAAACCTCCTACCTGCCATCTCCAGGACTTTGTGAATGGAAAAGCAAGTGTTACTTCTCTCCTCTTTTTCTGCCCTAAAGAAAGCTGGGAGCTGACTGCTTAGGACTGGTACTAAACTTTAAGAGAGAAAAGGATGAGGGGAGCCTTGTCATTTCTGTGGGGCTCAGCCCTCCAACCAGAGTTAAGAAGATAGGCAACAAGGTTGAGGAATAGCCATATGCAGAAACAACGTGAGTATCTAGCCACAGCATCTCTAATACTGTGTCACTCGGGAATCTGAATGCAGGGACGGTTCCTCAGCAGACTGTGGATCTAGCCCAGAGTGTGGACTAGGGGAGTGGGAAAGGGCAGAGGTATGCACCAAGCACTGTAACAAGGCCTGTCCTCCAGCCTGAGGAGGGTTGGGAGGATGGCTTGAGACTGGGAGCTGGAGGCTGCAGTGAGCTGTGATTGCGCCACTGCACTCCAGCCCAGGTGACAGAGTGAGACCCTGTCTCTAAAAAAAACAAACCAACCTGGATCTCATACCCACCCTGCTCTTTGAGCAGAAGGAATCATTTGAGAATTATTTTGTCTCATCTTCCTCCTTGATCACTGTTGAAGAATTTGGACACTGTAAACAGGTAAACATAAAACTTAGGTGAACTCTAGCTAAGTCGGTACTCTTCACACTTTTTTGGCAATAGTAGCTTTGTTTTTCACAGAAAAAACAAATTTTCTGTGGAACCACACTATTTAAAACATAAGCAGTATTAGTATCAACTTAAATAATTTATAAAAACAATCAAGAATAGGCTACCTTAATTGAATCAGGAGATAATTGCAGTCTTACATCAGCTACACTCATATCCATGAAATATGAGTCAGTCATTTGCACAACTCCCTGAGTCACCTCCTGGAACACAAAGCACTGAGCCAAGTTAGCCCAGGACCTGAACCTGAACCTGAAGGAAAATGTGTATTGTCTCCTTGGGGTATGGCTGCCCTTTCATGTGGTAGTCAGTTCCTCATGTCAGTTACTCAAGCATTTCTAAGGCAGTTGTGGCGTAACCAAGACCTTCTGTGTGTTGTGCTACTGCAGTTCCTCCTGTCACCGACCTCTCCTTCAAATGGGGCCTGCCTTTTGCCTTTGGTGGTAGGCAGTCCACAGTCTAAGCAGCTACTGGGAAAGTATTTACTTTGATAGCACTTGACCTTGATTGAGGCAGGTGACTCATTTATGGATAACATTTTTGAGGATATACTGAGCCAGGCATTTTGAGGATACAAAAGTGGATAAGATACAGTTTCCATTCTGGGGAAACTCACAGTCCAGTAAGGTAAACAATCACAAGAACAAGTTGCCAGCAGTGAGAGTGATTGCAGCCACTGAGTGGTGAAATCTGAGGAATGCCAAGCCTGTTGCCTATAAATATCTACATTTATTGCCTGTGCATATACCTAAAATTCCACCATGAGAAATTTATTTCCATGAAATTAGGAACTACCCAGAAATCCTCTGTCCAAATAAAAATTCCCACCAGAAAATAAGGATGGCTGATAGATTTAACTAGTAGTACCAAGTCTTTTGGACCAGAGGAACTGCCAGGGACAGTGTGTTGAGGAGGATTCTGAGGTCATGTTTCAGCTTGGCAGAGAAGGGTGCTGCCATGAGGGAAGGAGGGAGGGAGGGTAGCTCTTCTGCCACATAGTTTTTCTTAAGTTAAACCTTTGTTCGTGGAATGCATGACGAAACAGGGACAGCCAGGGTCTCTGGCATCTGGGAGAAAGCCCACTTGGAAACTGATTTATCTACCTCACCACTGCAAGTTCACCATCTGTCCCCAGGCTAAATGGCCTTAGGATGCCCAGTCCCTCCCTTGCCAAAGTCTACCTTCTTTATGCTTCCTTTTCAAGAAGTGAAATGGGGTGTGTGCGTGTGTGTGTGTATGGTATAGATATATATATCCTATATATCATATATATGAGATCCTTGAGAACTAGGATGTACCTGTGATCAGGCAGAGTCTAGCATGCAGCAGGGTCAGGCATAGGTTTTGTGTGTGTGTGTGTGTGTGTGTGTGTGTGTGTGTGTGTGTGTGTGTGGTATAGATATATATATCCTATATATCATATATATGAGATCCTTGAGAACTAGGATGTACCTGTGATCAGGCAGAGTCTAGCATGCAGCAGGGTCAGGCATAGGTTTTGTGTGTGTGTGTGTGTGTGTGTGTGTGTGTGTGTGTGTGTGGTATAGATATATATATCCTATATATTATATATATGAGATCATTGAGAACTAGGATGTACCTGTGTTCAGGCAGAGTCTAGCATGCAGCAGGGTCAGGCATAGGTTGTGTGTGTGTGTGTGTGTGTGTGTGTGTATGGTATAGATATATATATATCCTATATATCATATATATATGAGATCCTTGAGAACTACGATGTACCTGTGATCAGGCAGAGTCTAGCATGCAGCAGGGTCAGGCATAGGTTTGTGTGTGTGTGTGTGTGTGTGTGTGTGTGTGTGTGTGTGGTATAGATATATATATCCTATATATCATATATATGAGATCCTTGAGAACTAGGATGTACCTGTGATCAGGCAGAGTCTAGCATGCAGCAGGGTCAGGCATAGGCTGAAGTGAGAGAGGAAGCTACTTTGCTCCCCAATGACTATTCTCCCATCTCCCGTAGTTTCAAGGCCTGTTTCTTGAGGAATAGCAATAGTCCCAGCTCAAAAATGACAGCTGGCCAAGGGACTAAGTCTGGGCAATAAGATGTGAGTGGACAATTCCAGCAAAGCTCTCTAAAAAGGCTACCTCTTCTCTGCTTCTTGCAGTGTGGTCAGGATAGCTGGAATTCTAGCACCCAGTTTTGAATGCCAGGTGACCTTGAAGATGGAAGCCATGAACTAAGAGAATGTCCTTGTGTAAGCTGCTTTTACATGAGATAAGTAAACTGTATTGTGTAAACCACTGTCATTTTGAATTCCCAAGTTGTATGCAGGCAAACCTAATCCTGATCTAGCCAGGAATTGATATTCATTGATAAGAGCTTCATGTATTCATGTTGGCAGTTTTCCTTGATTGGCCCCCAGACAATAGGAACTGTGACTGAGACCTGTGGGGCCACCATGTGTACTTGGCTCCCCATAGGAGAACCCAGGATGGCATGGAAGGATACAGTGGGCAGGCTCTGGAGCCAAGCTATGGTTTAGGTGGCAAAAGGAAGTCATTCACCCAAAAGGCAGATTAGGCCCATGAAAATTAGAAGGATTGTCTGATGTGTTACTTTAATACAGCATTCCAGTATACCCAGAACTGTAGCTGATGGTTCCTGTGAACAGGAAGCTCCCTGAATATACCCTGACAAGAAATAGCTTTCTGTCCAAGGCGACTGGTGTTGGAAGGGGGTTTATTGAGTGTCTTTCCCAAGCCAGGCACTTTCACATACCTTAATCTTAGTTAACTGGCTTCACTTCAGACCCCATTCCCAACAGGACAAAAGCCAACAATTTTAAAGGCAAAACAAGAATAGTTGATGAGTTCTATTAACATACTTGTCTCTGCCTCACATTAGTAACCTCCAGGGAACTCAAAACGCACTGCAGCTATAATTCCACATTAAAATAGCCCTGGGTTCCCCAGGAGCACCTCAGTAGCCCCTACTGAAGTGGGGGTTCTGTCAATCCAGTGCTTAAGAATCTGTCAACAGCTTCTCATGTTGAGACTTAAAAACCCAGCCTGCCTGACAGTCAAGTTGGCCTGCTCCCCAGGCTTTCTCCCTAGCCACTCACACCTGCTCACAGCTCCCTCTGTGTCTGCCACTCTTCCTCTTACCTTACTCCTGTGACCTCGTCCCTCTGAGTGCCATTCCTCCCCACCTCTGTGTTTTTAATCCAACTTAACCTTCAAGGCCTGGCACAAACAATGCTTTTCCTTTGTCCTTCATACTGGAGATCATAAACTGGTGTAGATTCTGTCTGATAAATAAATATTTCCCATGCCAGTTAGCGTTTTTCTTAAACTATAATGACTGCAAAATGCATTGTATTAGGGGTACTAATAGGTGGACATTTCGTTTGTTTCTTTTTTAGGATGATAAAAACAGTTCAGAGATAACATTTTTATATGCTGATATTTGACTGCGTCTGCTCATTTCCATAAAAGGAATCATTAGAATTGAAATTTCTAGGTCATTTTGACAAAAAAGAAACATTTTTAAATCTCTTAATATTGCCATATAACATCTTAGAAAGTTTACGTCATTTTACACAAGTAATTGTTTCCTTATTGATAGTGCAAACCTAGAGAACTTGTGGTCATTCTGTGATGCGTAATTGGACAAATTTCCATTGCTCCTAGCAGCATTTTATACAGACTTATCAGGATGTATTATGATTTGCACACATTTCTTGAGATGTATTATGTTTTACTTGCACTTCTCCAAGTACGCGCTGACGTGGAAAACGGAGCTTGTTTTACTCTTTGTAGCACGGTACTGAGAGCAGTAACACCTAACAGGCATCAAGACCCCTTCAGGTAAATCTGCAGAAAGAGTGATTGTCTCAATCTCAGTTTCCCCGTGGTAGACCAAAATAAAGCTCTGCACACCTAACCTAGTGAAGCTGCATACAGTTGGAGAGCTGTGTTCCTCTACGCCTGGCGCTGACAGCTCTTCAGCATGTTTTTTATCCCGAGTTCCACATTACTTCACTAAGTCCTTTTAGCATTCCTGTTTTTTATTTCATCCATCACACGAACCTGGAGTTGGTTATGCCTGCAGTGTTTCTCCATGACACAATATCACCTCATTATATATACTCAGGAGCTTGAGAAATGAGCATCACAAATCACAGAGTATTCTTGTTGCTTAGTTATTATCCTGCATTTCCTGGGGACTTCACCTTGGCAAAGTATATGATGCTACGTTTTAATGAATGTTGAATAGTCACTGTATGATAAATGCCAGGAAAAACAATGAATGATATAGAGAAAGAAGTATGAATCCCGCTCTTCTGCCTGTATCCCAGCTCCATTTTCATGTCTTTTGGTATCAGCCCCCAGGATTTGGTGTCTTCTGTTTGAAAATGAGATTGGTTCCATAACATTGTATAGCTCTGCTTGCTGAGGGACTGGGCTGGAAAGAGTCAGATTAGAGCAGGTGCCCTCCTCACCAGTGTGCCCTGAGGATGCAAAGGCCCTCTTTGCCTGCTGATAACACTTTCAATGCCCAATAGGGGACCCAAAATTGCAAGTTGACTATCCCTTTGAGACAAAGGCCTTGAAATCTCATTTTGTCTTTAAGAAGTGGTATTTGGAATATCCACACATCAAAATGTTACCGTTCTCTGCTAGCACAGTACCAGCTAGTGTATCTTAGCCAGCTGGGTCACCTCTCAAGGCACTGAAGGAACGGAAAAACACAGGACAGTCTCTGTAAGCCTCATTCCTTCACTCGGCAACCTCTGAGAAGCTACAGAGAAAGGACCAGTGAGAGCCCAGGATCAGCTCTTGCTGGGAGTCAGCCAGGAGCCACCAAGGAGGGCCTGGAGCTCTCAGAGGAAAACGTGGGGATGTCAAGTACACAGGAGATCAGGCGAAAAACAGTAAAGTCAGCTTAGAAAAGACTCATACCTCTCACCCCCACTGCCTCAACCTCCTCCCAAAGCGTAGACTTCACAACTTTTCCTTGGCGAGTGTGTGTGTAATAACAGTGCTCAACAGAAGAGAGGAACAGGATTTAGGTTACTATCTTCCACACCCTAAAAGTGAACATTGTAATATTGCAAATATGGTAGAAAAAAAAAGCCTGTCTCAGGAAGTAAAAATGGCTACTCCTGCTAGCAGTTTTCCCCATTCACAAAATATTACTAATTTTTTTAATTTGGAAAGAATATTAATATTCATAGATGTCAGATGAGTTGGGCAAAATATGCTAAAAATTGCCACTTAATTTATAATAGTGAAAAACTGAATGCAACCTAAATGCCCATGAATAACTAGTTACATAGAGCAGACAGTGAAATTCTATGAAGTCATAAAAATAAGGATGTACATCTGTATTTATTGTTATAGAAAGAAAGCCATGAAATATTGTTGAGAGAGAAAGCAGACTGCAAGACTGAGTATGTATGCAAAGAGATGTTTTTAGGGATGTTCACAGTTAAACAGTGATTCACTTAGTTGACTTTTTTCCTCTGTTCTTTTTTCTTTTTTACTCTAAATCTATGTCTTTTTTAAAAGCAATAATTTCCTCCCTCAAAAAAAAGATAGCCTAGCAAAATATTTTACTTCAAATGCTTTTCCCGTTATTAATCTTTGTATGAACTATTGTGGTTTGCTAAAACAAGAGAGGATTATAGAGTAGAATCCATGCCCACGATAGAACAAAATCCAAACTGGAAGACACTTCATATGTGGTTATAAGACCAGGAGGACCAGGAGACAAAGACAGGCAATGGGTTTTTGTTTGTTTTAAGAGAGACAGTGTCGTTCTGTCACCCAGGCTGGAGTGTGGTGGCACTATCATAGCTCACTGCAGCCTCAAAGCCCTGGGCTCCAGCGATCCTCCCACCTAAGCCTCTCTAGTATGTAGGACTACAGGCATGCACCACCACATCCAGCTAATTTTTAATTTTTTTTTTTTGAGACAGGGTCTTGCTACATTGTCCAGGCTGGTCTCAAACTCCTGGGCTCAAACATACCTTCCCAAGCGCTGGATTTACAGGTACGAGCCACCACACCCGGCCTAGAAGAAATGGTTCTGATCCAGGAAAACTGCAGCCTGGAAACAGCATTCTGTACAGAATCCTAGCTCTTAGACTAAAAGGCATCAACCGGTACAATTACTTGCCTTTGGGCACTGAACTTGTTAGCTTCCATTTTATTTAACTTACTGTAAAATTATATTAGCTATGCTGCCACTTAAGCCAAGATGCTTTCTGTCTAGTCACTTAGGTTTTATCCTTTCAAGGGCCCTGCCATTTCATTGCCTCTCCTTTCCCATTCCCCTCCCCAGGGCTGTACTTTGAGTAACTGTATGTACATTCTCCTGTGCCTTTCATTATTATAACACTGTAAACGATAATGTCTCCAAGATGCAAACTATAATCTTCTCCATTAAAAAATATTTTCTAGGCCAGGCACTTTACTGTGCCACTGCACTCCAGCCTGGACAACAGAGTGAGACTCTATCTCAAAAAAAAAAAAAAAAACTCATTAAATTGTATAAATAAAATAGGCTCATTTTGTTTTATGTAAACTGTGTCTAGTAAAGTTTATTTTTATTATTTTTTGAGACAAAATCTTGCTGTGTTGCCCAGATTAAAGTGCAGCAGCATAATCATGGCTCACTGCAGCCTTCACCTCCTGGGCTCAAGCAATCCTCCTATCTCAGCCGCCTCCCAAGTAGCTGGAACCACAGGCAGCTCCCACCATGCCCAGCTAATTTTTTTTAAGAGATGGAGGGTGTCTCACTACATTGCCCAGGCTGGTCTCTAACTTGTGACCACAAGAGATCCTCCTGTCTTGACTTCCCAAAGTTCTGGGATTATAGGCTATATGCCTAACCAAAGTTGATTTTAAAAAATAAAAAGGGACTGGGTGTGGTGGCTCACGCCTGTAATTCCAGCACTTTGGGAGGCCCAGGTGGGCTGATCACCTGAGGTCAGGAGTTTGAGACCAGCCTGGCCAACATGGTGAAACCCCATCTCTACTAAAAAATACAAAAATTAGCTATTATGTGCCTGTAATCCCAGCTACTCAGGACGCTGAAGCAGGAGAATCGCTTGAACCCAGGAGGCAGAGATTGCAGTGAGCCGAGATCACATCATTGCATTCCAGTCTGGGCAGCAAGAGCGAAACTTAGTCTCAGAAGAAAAAAAAAGTTTAAATTTCTAGTTAAAATCAAATTTGGACTGAACTGGGA